GATAACAAAGAAAGTCCTTCCTTGTTAGTCCCTTAACAAGGAAGAAATCCCACCTGTACAGGGTCTAGAGGATCCCCAGCACAGGAACCCCTTAATCAGACTGTTTTGCTAGAGCACATCCTCCAACGGCTTCTTAATAAAGGGTGCATGTGAGGTCAAACTTTGAGAATTCACATGTGTGAAATGTGTTTATCCATCCCTCAGACCTGCTTGAGAGTATGGATGGATACTGAATTCTGGGAAGGAATCCATTTTCCTTCAGAAGGCACTGCTTCTCCATTATCTTCCAGTTCCCAATCTTGCTGCAATCCTCTGATTCCTGACCCTATCTATGTGATTTTTGTTGTTCTACCTTGGCATGGATATTTTTAAATTAGTTGTGCTGGACTATTGGAAAGTCCTTTTGATCTGGAAACTCATGTCCTCTGGTTTTGAGAAAATCAATCAATTAATTAATTAATTTAACTCCTTGCTTTATTTTATTTTGGCTGATTTCTTCATGCCATCAAACAATAACCACCCGCTAGCCCTTCTTGTTACAAATACCTACAAACGTCTGGGTCATTTAGTTCTCCACATTCCCTAAAGATTTTAGCTTCTCGATCACTATCTTTTTTGCTATTACTACTCCCATCTTCACTCCTGATCATTTCAGTGAGCACTAAGGTAATCCTCCCACTATCCTTACCTCTCAGTTCCTTTACTCCTGTCCTCCAATGATGTCCTCTATCCTACTTGAGCCACACACTTCCACAGTGTCCACGTCCAAACAGCTCAACATAGCTGAAGGAAAGGCATACAACCGTGCTAACTGGGTCTCACCTTAAATTTATGACAACAAACAGCAAATGGGCACTTGTAGCTGCGTGGCAATCCTAAAACATTTCCTTATTTAACTCATTTTCCCCAACTCTCCTGGATGGATTTTACACATTCTTTCTTCTCAAACTTCTAACACCTTCTCTACTCTTCATTTTTAGCTGAAGATCTGCCTTCTTATTTAACTGCAAATATAGAAGTAAACAGAAAAGAATTTTCCCTTTCTACCACCACCAAGCTACCAACACACTAGCATTTGGGTCTATATACTCACCACAGATGAACTGTCCATGCACCTATACAGCCTGAGGCCAATATATCCATTTATGTCCTAGATCCCCTTCCCTCTCACCTGCTCAAGGACTTCACCCCTGCAATTGTCCCTTCTTTTAATTATCAATTTTCCTCTCTGTACTCCATCATTCCCATCAGCCTCAAATGTTTTAGGGAGGCTATAATGTCTGTCCACCTAAAAACAAAAGAATTCTAACACTTCTACCCTTCCAACCAGAGCCCTATTTCTCTGCTTTCTCTGATAGCCATAGCCCTATTATTCTGCTCTCTCTCATAGCCAAAGCCTTGTTGCCCTGCTCTTCAATCCTTGAAACATAATTATGACTATCTATATGCACTGTCTTCAATTCTTCTCCTCCCATTTTCTCTTGAACCCACTGCACCAAACCTGTTCTTGTCAAGGTCACAAATGATCTCTATGTTACCAAATATAATAGTCTATTCTTAGTCCTCATCAGCCCATCAATGGTACTTATTATTTGGCTTTCCATGACTGTCCTGGATTCTTCTCCCATCTCAGAGGTAGGAAGCCACTTTCCATCAGAATTTGGAAACCATTGCTACACTGTCTTTCGTAGACGGGATACCCCAGGGCTTGGATGTTGGTCTTCTTTATCTACATTTGCTCCCAGGATCTCTATCCAGTCTCAAAGATTTAAATAAAAATGTGGGAGTCATCAGCGTAGTACTTCCAGTCCCAGTCTTTCTTCTGAACTCCAGATTCATAAACCCAAACTGCCTATCCAATCTCTCCATTTGGATATCTATTAGGCAACTCAAAATGAAAAGGCCAAACCTGAACTCTTATTTTCTCCACAAAAGTGCTCTAATTCCAGTGTTCCCAGTATCAGTAAATGGCAATTTCATTCTTCCAACAGTTGAGCTCAAAACTGACTATGCCTTCTTACATTATTGTTCCTTCAGCCCTATTTCTTCCTCAGTACTTATTTCTCAACACTCTGTATTATGATTTGTACTGTTTTTGTCTCTTTCCACTTATAAAGGAGCTCTTTGAGGGCAGTGGCCTACCTTATTTGTCTCACACCACCTAGCCCAGTGTATGTTGGATTATTTGTAAAAAGAGGAGTAAAATTTAAACTGATAAACAGGTCCTGAGCAGGATCAGGTCCTTCTGCAGAAAGAGATTCTTAAGTAGGAAAGCATTATTTCAGCTATTTCCACTGGTTCCTTAGTACAAGTCGAGATAGTTAGTTGGTAAGAACTCCAAAATCTCAGTGGCTTGAAACAATGGTTTACTACTTGCTCTGCATATCAAATATAAGTCACCTGGAAGTTTGCTCTGAGTCCCAGACTGATGGATTAGCCACTACCTGCAACACCAACAGTCACCACAGTAGAGGGAAAGATAGTGGCATATTATACACCAGAAGCTTTTACCATGAAGGAATACACATCATTCCTGAACACACTGACTGACCAAAAGCAACTCATAAGGCCATAACCAACTTCAAGGGGGCAAGCAAGTATAATTATACCACATGCCCAGGAGGTGGAAACCAAAAATAGCTGATGAGCAGCACTGATGACTACCACATCCTGAAAAAGCAGCTTCTAGTTCTAAGCAACAGCATTTTAACTCCTGATCTCTATTCCCCATCTGTGAAAATGAACTCCATTGCTAGAAGGGAACCACACACTTGCAAAGTACTATCTATGGGTCTTTAGGAATGTAACTTCACCAGTTAGGCCTGCCTCTTTCATCACTCAGTGCTGCAAAGAATCCAAATATGGGTGACAGGAAAGTGCTGAGCCCATACCTGCCATTCAATGTCAAAAGTCAGGAAAAGGCTTGAATGGGTAAGAAAAGCATGTTCAGTTATGTAGAAGTAGGGTAAGGGAGGAGAACGCTGACTCATTTTCTTTTAACAAAGGTAAAACAGGCCTTGGGGTTCCTTGTATTACCACTTGTCTGAAGACCAACAAGTTTCACTCAAACCACTTTTTAAGATTCAGAGTTTACGATTAATAAAGTTAGCCAACATTAATTTAACAAAGAAACACTATTTTTCAAAAATGCTGTGCACTGCCATGTTCCTAGAAACAAGGAAGGCAGCAGTTATTTTAGAGATGGATTTCACTGGGAAGCTTTTTCTCTTAAAAGTTTCAAAGACTCAAGATTCCTAAGCTCAAAATGATCTGGGATGAACCCCAAATCTATTTGGAGCTTAGATTTAATGGATGGTTGCTCCAAATTCTAAGTATCCTGTGCAGGGGCACCTGGCTAGCTCAGTAGGTAGAGCACACAATTCTTGATCTCAGGGTCGTGAGTTGAAGACTCACGGTGGGCATGGAGCCTACTTTAAAAAAAAAAAAAGAAAAAAGAAGTATCTGTGCAGTTTTCTATTCTGCACAAAGTTCAAATACTTTCTAACAGTGAAAGTGGCTGCCAGAAATGTTAGGACAGACTGGAGATGGTTACCATAAGCAGCTAAACACTTAGAACACAAGGAATTCCACTAAAGAGCAAAGCAGGAATTCAACCAATGTCACCTGCTAAATTAGAAGCAAATTAGGACTCCCAAATGCAACCCTGGGTATCTAGCCCTACCTCTCCCAACCTTTATTCATTCAACAAACAGGGGTGGGGGAAGGAATGCCAAGAAGTAAACGAGGGACAGGATTTTAAGATTTAGTTCTTGCTCTCCATGAATTTGTTCTTGTTAAAACAAAGCAAAAACAAAACAAAATAAAAAAACAGATTGGCGAGGAAAAAGTTAAAAATACAATGCCTTAAGTACCATAACACGGATACAAGAAGAACCATTTTCATGTATAAGTTAACAATCTCCTTTCAAGGAAACAACATATTTGCTTTGCTAAGTTATTAAAATAGAGAAAAAGCAAAGCAAAACAAAACACTCTTCTGGTTTAATGACAGTTTAGCAGATCCCAAAGCCCATTTCTCTCCCTCTTCTTTCTTCTCTCTCAACGATCTCTGCCGCAAATGCTCCTTCATTCCAACCTCCACACTCTGCTAGCGGCCTCATAACAGCTCCATCGCAAACAATGCCCAGACTATCAAGGTCAGCCCCAAAGACACTGGGAGCAGAAAATCGGAAACGCGTCTTCCTATAACGAAAAGGGGCGGGGACCCTCCCCATTATCACCCACCCCATCCCGAGGCACCCAGGAGCTCTGTCTCTAGCCTCAGGGGCTTAGGGTCCGCCGATTCCTCAGGGGCTTGGGGTCCGCCAATTTTGGGGGTTCTAGGCCTCTTTTTCCTATTCATCCAGTTAGTTGTCTCTCCTGCGCCTCCCCCCAACCTGAGCTCCCTATTGTGGAAGGACGGAGAATCGCGATGCAGGCTGGGGGAACGCGCAATAGGGAAGATGCTGTCAGCGTATATGTACGTAGGGGGCGGGAGGGGGGCACTCTTTAGGGATGATGCTGTCAAGGGGGAAGGCCCTAGAGGAGACATACTGTATGGGGAGATTATAGGTAAACCGTTTCTGGAGAAACCTATTCAGGGGTTCTACCCAAAGCAGCTACTGTGGGGGGGGGTCTCCACAGATAGCCGTTTCTGGGGGAAATATTCAGTGGAAGGCATGTGAGTTACGCATAGAGAACCCACTGCAGAGGTTCTCTCCACAGGGGAACCTTTCCTGGGAGAAACCTACAGGGACGGGGATGTCATAGTAGGGGGTCTCCACGGAGGAGCCGCTGTGGAGTTGTCTACAGAGGAGCCATTGTGGGAGCCGCTACACAGGGCGCAGTTCCTGGGGAAACGTCCCTCAGGCAGCCGTTTAGGGAAAACCATCTGCAAGGAAGCCATGTCGGACCACGCCCTGCGGCGGGAGGCGTCGCCCGACCCCAACAGCCCGCAAGCCCCGGCCGGGCAGCCCCTCTGTAGCCTCGGCCCCACGTACCTGACGGAGGGCGACCCGCGGCCGGAGCCGCCGGGGGACCGCGCGCGGGGCAACCCAAGCCGGTGCGGGGGGTACACGTCCATGGCGGCGAGCGGCAGAAGAGGACGCTGCCGCGGCGAGGGTCGCTCAGGCCCGCGGGGCAGCTGCAGGCCCGCTGCGGCCGGGCGGGGCGCCGGGG